GGTAGCTTCACGTTGATCCGCCATCTTGAATTTTGCTAAACTAAACCCCAGGTCGCGCTCGGCCAAAATGAAACATGATTTAAAAATTTGTAAAATCGACGCTGTCCAAAGGAGTTTCAAGAACTGACGTTTCGGCAATGCAGTCTTCTTCACCCTGAAGAAGGCAACATTGCCGAAACGTCGGTTAAAACTCTTTTGAACAGCGTCGATTTTACAATTTTCAAATAAACATTAAGTTGCTACGTTGCACAGGGAATTTAATATTTATTTCTCTAAATGAAAGTTGGCCAAATTCCAAGCGCTGCCCAAATTTTAAAATGGACTAATAACCTTGCAAATAACCATGAAAGGAAACATGTGTTTAATTGCACATGCTATTTTCTGCTGATGCACAAGTAACATCTAAAGGGTATGTTGCAGAAAACACAGAAGCGAAAAATCGAAGAATCTCGTTTCACAGTACTTTGTAAACAATAGACCTTGTCACGGTTTTCGACGCCATCTTGACGAGTAGGCAGACGCGTTAGAAATTACAGTGTTTGTATGAGAATCTAATGTCGACTAATTTCCGTAGAACGGCTGTTCTGAAAAAAATATGATTTGTAAACTAAAGCTTCACTCCTAAGGATTCTACTGAAAAAAACGGAGGGCGTTACATGCGCTAGAAGACCTAGAACCACTTTTTAAAATTTTCTATGAGGGTCTCAATGGGGTTAATCCATAGGCGTAAAACGGCCAAAAATTTAGTGGATAGCCATAAAAATTGAAAAATTTTAACGGTTAGCCGTAAATAGGGTAAAAAAGAGTTAACCGTAAAAGAAATTGTTCCCAGATTTGTTAATTTTAAGGAAGGTGCTAAACTCACCTATGCATGGTTGTGTTTTTTTATTTCCCGGCTACTTTGACTCGGTACGCACGTTAGGCCAAGCGCCTTTTAGGTGTTGACCTAGACCTATGCTCCATTTCCGCCGCTCTCTCGAAATACTTGGGCTGATTTAGCAACAGAACGGGAGCGTCATTTGACGACGGCAAAGCGCGCGAAAAGGACTAACCTCTACTTCCGGTGCTCAGTTTGCCGCTCAGCCATTGGTCAAGCCAGTTGTTTGATTTGCGCGCGCCGTCGTCAACTGACGTTCCCGTTCTGTTGCTAAATCAGCCTACTAGTGAATCTTGAACACGCAGAGATGTCACTGTTTCTAAAACACGTTGCCGATAAACAACAATTCCCTGTCAGTTTTCTCTGACGCTACGGTAGACATTGCCATACCTAGTCCCTGTACGGCGTCTTCCCAAGCAATCTCGTTCAAGACATTTCCGTGGCGTATCTGAGAAAAAAAAAAGACTCGCTCGGACCACGTGACCCGAAACACATTAGCCGCGCGGAATAATGAGGCCTATCCTATAGACAAGGCAACGGCAAACAATCGTTCTGTACAGTCCCTTTTTTGTTGTACCTTTTTATCATTAAAAATACTGAACACGGGAATTTTGGCATTGGCCGTTTTCATACTATAGCAAGAAATGGATTATCCGTCTGAGACTAGCCTGTGTAAAGTTGCCCCCTATCCCACAGACACCCCTTCTCCGATTTTTTCTGAGGTGGGGTTGTTAGGGGGGTGGGGGGCGTCTGTACACAGGCTATCTAAAATGAATAGTCCATCTTCAAGCTGTCCGTTAAAATTGACGGATAAAGTCAGCCGGATTGTTCAATCAAAATTAAAACCATATCCATTTTCAAATTAAGACGTATTACCTATTTGACGCGAATTCTCAAACGGATAGCGCGTCTCACACGAATAATTCGTCTCTACTGTGAAAACGGCCTTTTCTGTTATAAATGAATGTCGCGCCCCGGCCTTAAGTTGGGCGTTCGCGTGTCTGCTTTTGCTTTTTACACACAGATTATTTTTAAATTGACTATTGGCATTTTTATGCGCAAAATAATATCAGAAGTGAATACTCTATAAAAAGTATTATCTATCAAATGTTAAAATTTTTCAAAAGAATAGCTTATTTCATCTCGAGATGATCCTAAGACCTTTATTTTTCCAAAAGGTCTAGATAGCAGCAACAATATAGATAGTCGTATAAACATAACAACTTTCTTTAATTTTCCAGACATGTTTCGACGGTACATCCGTCATCTTCAGTGTTATGTATTTTGAAATCGCCGTTGAATTGAAAGCGCGCACGATCTTACAAAGTTCGTTACATTGCGTTGTCAATATTGCGTACTAAAACAAAAAAATTAAATGAGTGACGCTTAGTTCTTTACAGGGAGAGAGTCAGGTTAATGTATTTCACCTGCTGGTTGAGATCGGGCTTTCTCCCATTTTATAAACATGGATTCCTTAAGCTTCACTTGGTACTTAGTGGCTGCAGAGTCCAGGATCTCGAAGCAATCCGGTGTGCAGGATGCTCTACAAAACTCTGAACGCTGCAGATGTTTAAAAACGTTCAAAGACCTGTCTGAAAGTAATTATAAGTGCTCGCGAACTCGTGTGGAGAAGTGTCGGCTGGTTTCACCAACATAACAAGCATTACAACTTGCACACGAAAATTTATAGACCACACGCGTGCGTAGCCCCTCAGGGACAGCATCTTTCACATTAAAAAGATTCCTGACTGTGAAAGTAGTAAAGACTAACCTTAAATCAATAGGTTTACATAACCGGGTAGCAAGTTTGCGTATACTCCTCTAGTCCTATTATGGCTCTTGACCTGTTATAGATGCTTGGAAATGTTGTTGAAAGAACCTGTTTCAGATGTCCCACCTCCCCTCAGCAATGTTGATTGTGTTGAAAAAGATATCATAACGTCAACATTGAACTGGGGGGAGGAGAAAATCGTCATTTTCACCAGCTGTTGCGTTAATATCCCAAGAGTTTTGACCGAGGGTTGTATGTACGTCAAGGAATTTAAATAAGAATCGGCTTTCCTCTCTTGTGTGTTTTTTCTTTCCTACGTGGTTCCCAAGCCAATTTATGACCATTTTACGAGTCTTATTGGAACCGGCTTGTTCTTTCTATGAGCTTTTTGCAAGCTTGGGTTCTCCCACCCCGGGAAGGGGTATAGATTTTGCGCCGTTTTGGTCTGAAACCCGGGGTGTACCCCCGCCCTGTAATGACCTATACACTGAAGCTCCGCCCGAAAGGGGTACATTTTTCAGGCTTCAGGAAAGGTATGTTCGCAAGTTCGAGCTGCAAGCTCCAACGACCTGGAATAAAGGTTCGACGCGATTCAGACAGAGCCTCTATTTCTCCTTCCGACTCAATAAGACCAGTGCCGGATCCAGACTTTCAAATAGGGGGGGGTCATCCAGATTCTGAGATAAAGGGGGGGCCCGGTCTCAAAAAAAATTTTTTCTCAGCCCTTCGGGCCTCTTTTTGGTCTAAAACTAAGGGGGCACCGGACTCCCCCGCCCCCCTCCCCTAGATACGCCACTGAAGACAACAGGAGACTCTGCTCGTCAACGAAGAATGAAGAAAAAAATGTTTCAAAACCTTAAGTATCATTTTTTTGTGTAGCATTTTTAAGTATGCAAACCGCTGTCGTTGGATCATTGCCTCTGTTGTATTGGGGCCCCGGCCGTTCGTGCATTAGCTGGGCGTTGCTTTAAAAATTCAAGCTTAGTTTACAATAAGTTTAAAAGGCATTCTCGAGATGATAACGCTAAGAAAAAAAACATTTTCCCTCATAGTAAAAGATGTGACCGAGTTTCTTATCTTTCTCAGGTTTGAGTTCAAGGGTATCCCATCCAGTTGCCCGTCCATGCCAGCATGATTGTTTCCTGCAAAGTTTCGCAGTAGTACCTTAAGGGTGTTTCAGCCTGTTTTCTGATTCCATGGTAACCCTTGATAGTCTTGATGTCTATGCATCTGATGCCATTATAACGGCACTATTAGACAAAGAGTGACCATACTATTGATTGGTCAATTGATGATTACTAGAAAATGCTGTAAGCTTATACTATTTAAACTTATAGCTATCGCTTAGTGACAACAGCAAAGATTTTACCTATACACGCGCGCTGCTCAATTTGTTTAGAAAAATGTCATGAATTACCGTAAGTTACGAAAATGCAGACTGCACTGCTAGTCATGAGTCCGTCATTTACCGTCATGGTACGCACTCATGCATTATACTTGAAATCGTTCGCTGAGTGCCTCAACTAAGGACAACGGGGTTGAGTTGTTCAAAAACCGGTTAACGCTAACTTGGGGTTAAAATGTAACGTAGGAGTTTCTAGTACCTAATTTCAAACTGTTTTATAGAAGCAGCCTAAGTTAAAATTGTGGGAGTGTGGTTCTGCCTTGAAACTTTAGCGCACGTGTTCGCTCGAAAACAAAGCATTCCCTGCTCTGCATTACGTCATAAAAGTTACCTTACACTACCTTATGTTAAATCGCTTTGAGATTCATTTTGCCTTGGAACTTTCCCGCACGGCTTTATTATGCTGCCGCCTGGCAGCCTAACGTCTTCACGAGGCTGCTCGTTGGCAGTTAGCCACCTTCCACACAGTTCGACAAACCAATAGGCTGACTTACATTCCGGCCCCACACTTATACTGTATACCGGGTATATGGACATCAAAAAGAAATCTATTGAGTTATTTACCCTGAAAAAGGCAATAGAGAGCTTAAGCAACAAGGACGGCGACGGCTATGAAAACGTGACTTAAAAAGTGAATTCGCGCTCCTTCAAACTTTATCGCGCTTATTTCATCTCGTTTAATTCGTCAAATGTGGGCAGATTGTTTTGGAGTTGAATTCTGAAGGTCTGCATCAAAGTTCAGTAAAAGAAAAAGAAAGTTGTTGTCTTCTTTTCCCGCCCTCGACAAAACGTGAAATTAGGCACTTTCACGTTGTAGTCGTGCAACGGCGGCTTAAAGAAATGTACAAAAAAGCGTGAGGCACGTGTAAAGTTGTTGTTTTGCTAATCTAAATTTATTGCCTTTTTGCCGTCCTCGTTGCTTAAGCTCCCTAATAAAACTTTTCTGCTCAATAGCACGGACAACTTGCTCCATGACGGTTGGCAACCCAGACCTTACGTTCTTTTCTTACACTTTTTGTCTTTCGTTTCTTCCTACGGAAAACGGAAAAATACCAGGTCAGCTAACGTAAGTAGATATAGGGCAATATCTCGATTTCGTCTTACAGCGGGGCTTCCCTAGTCTGCTACACAGCCGTTTTTAGTGTCGTCTTGTAACCTCCTTTGTGGGGAGGAGCGTTACGTGACGACACTAAAAACGGCTATGTAGTAGACTAGGGCTTCCCGGACCCCCGGTGATACTTACCATTCACATAGGAACCCGGAAATTCCGGTTGGACAATCAAATGTTGGCAAATACTGTAGTCAGTGACAGCTACTTAGCAGTACTTTAACTTTGCATTATCTTGCTCTGGCACTTACTACATGTTACTATCCTAGATCTACTGAGGGTCATATTGCATGCCTTGCTACCCCGAGGCCCGAGGGGGGGGGAGGGGGGAGGGTGCTGCCTATAACGGGGAGGCTCCGCCGAAAAGGGCGACCTTTTTCCCCGTGGGGTACTCCCTATGATGGCCTATGCGGGGAGGCTCCGCCCTAAAGGGGTACTTTTTCAGGCTTCAGGTATATGAAAGAGTAGGGATTTCACTAGTTGAAGTGTATAAAAGGGTGGGGAAATCTGTCATTTGGGTCTGTAAAAGGGCCCAAAAGGATTAGAACATGAATTTTATGGCTTTAAAAAGTCGAGAAAACGTTCTGTTTTTGAGATTGAGTCCTAATTCAAAGACAGTGCATTTACAGCAGTTAAAACGGATGCAAAGTTCTAAACAAGGTGTGTGAAAGGGGTACCATAGAAGGTATACGAAAGGGGTACCTTTTTCTTGAAAAATGGTATACAAAAGGGTAAGGGGTTGGACCTCGGGACGGAGCCTCCCCGTGCAAACATTTGTTGAGTACCGGCTCCCCGGGCCTTTTTCAGGCTTCAGGTATGTGAAAGAGTGGGGAAATCACTTGTTGAAGTATATGAAACGATAGAGAAATCTGTCATTTCGGTCTGTAAAAAGACCCATAAAACGGCTAACAGATGAAATTTATGGCTAAGAACAAGTCGAGAAACGTCCTAGTTTCAGTGATAAAAGGTATAGGAAAAGGGTACCTTTTGTCACAAATGAAATATAAAGGGGAAAGGGATTGGACCTTGGGGTAGAGCCGGGGGCACCAAACGAGAATATAGTTCAAAACTACTTAAACATAGCATTGTTAAACGTATTTAGTATTTAAGCGGTAGATATAGGATATTTTTATCCCCTAAAAATTTTCACCTGTTCGGATTTTCTAGCTGAAAGTCAAGTGATTCGAAAATTATAGGGATCAAAACTTACCCTTTCGAAAATTTCAGGCAGAAAAAAGGCTCCCGAAAATTCTAGGTGACCTTTTTAGGGTAAAAATCCGTTAAAAATGGGCAATTATACCATTTTCTAGATGTTCGAAAATGCTACAATCTTGGACAAAACTGTTGAGAAAATTGCCTTCTTGGGGCTCATTTTTTCTAAACTTCGTAGCCGACCGATTCTTCCCTCCCCCTCTCCCCCTGGAAGCAATGTTGTTGGGTCTTCAAAAGAAAGCCGGATCCCTCTGCATTTGTAGGAAGCAACTTTGAACTGGGGGAGGGGGGTTTCTTTACGCAAAGCCGTTGATTTGGGAATAGTTTTGTTGCGTTAGGTAGTGCGCATTAATGAAAACATTTTCTCAAGTAGTTTTGTTCAGGATTGTAGGAGAGGCAGGCAAGCAAGAACTTTTACAACAAATGTTCCGAAAATTCTAGATCTCAAATCGTCTTCCGAACAGATATTTTTCTAAACATTGACGTTGGGTGCCCCAGTAGAGCCTACCAACGTAAAACCTTGTTGAGTACCCCTTGCCCGTGCTACCTACCGTGATTCTCTGCATCTTTTGAGACCCAGATAACAGCTTTTAGAGTAATATGTTGTATAGCTGGTATAAGTGGAAGTGTAGTAGTATTGAGTTTCCTGATAACAGTCGGCTGTAAAATAATCATGACAAATACCGCAAATGTCACTAGGTTGTCTGCATAGTTCATATTAGATTATTGTTCATTTAAAATATTTCGCTCTTTCTATACCACGTAGGTTATAAGCCCAGCCGACCCGGAATCACACCTGGGGTGGGCTAACCTACGTGGTAGGCGGTAACAACATCTGTGCACATTCATTTTCAAGTGCTTGAAGGGACTTGTACTGTTTTGAACAATCAAATAAAAAAAGTCGATCAAAATAAAGCTCAAGAAGAAATCCCGGCTGTTTTGCTGCGCTGTGTCAAATATTCTTTGCTAACAAAACAATTATCTACCTGTATATTATTCTATCTAGTATTTATAATTGTAGTTAATCATTAACTACTTATGTAAATTTTGAATTTAAATTTTAGGAGCCGTTAAAAGATATCTTCTCTCGGTATAGCTCTATTTAGCCGAAATATTGGCCTATAATAAATCAACCCTTTGCCGTAGTGCCAGCCCTGCATTCAGTTTTGTTTTAAAACAATTATTACATTTCGGTTTCTGTGCAATGTAAAGAATTATGCGTAATTTGCGTAACGGGCTAATACATACCATAACAGCTACTTCCAGATTTATAGTAACACCGGTCGCAGTCACATCTATATGATCCCTGTGTATTGACGCAGCGTGAGTTGGACATGCAATTGTAACGTCCTTGAAGACATTCGTCAATGTCAACACAAGAATAATGACCATTGTTTCTCCAACCAGCCACGCAGCTGCAACGGTACGACCCTTGCGTATTGACACACCTCGAATTGGATGGGCACCTGTGTGATCCTTGAGAACACTCATCAATATCGACGCAAGTGTGCGCACCTTGATTCCTCCAACCAGGGCTAGACAAGCAGTTGCATCGATATGAGCCTGCAGAGTTTAGACAATTTGATTGTACCGGGCAAGCATTGGGCTTATCGACGCACTCGTCCACGTCTCTGCATGTTGGTAGACGAGCATTTGATGGATCTGGGTACCATCCGCTGTTACATATGCATTTCCAGCTTCCAGCTGTGTTAACACAATAAGAGTTGCGATCGCAGCCGTGGATTCCACGACTGCACTCGTTTATGTCTGAACACTGGAACTCTGACACTTTCTCCCATCCTGGATTACACACACAATAATAACTTCCAAGGGTATTGACACATGTCGACGGATTAGGACACCTTTGATAATACAAACAGTATTGACTTTTAGGTAGAAACCAAAGGCCCAAAAACTAAAACCGACAAAACTGAATTCGTAATAATAATAATAATTCGTAATAATAACGTGGCTTCTCTTAGGAACAACCGTTCATGAGATTTAACGTGAGCTGATATGGTAAAGGAAGTCATGCTGTGACCCATTTTGATCATTTTGAAAATGAGATAGAAGGCTTTGATTACTTAAATAACGTGGGTTTGTCCTTGACAAATTTGTCACATTATAACGGCAATCACGTACTCAGCCCGAAAGGAAATCCCAGTACAACAAATCAACATTACCTGTCAATTCCTTCCGTGCACTCATCAATGTCATAACATACAGGATGTTCCCCTTGTCCCCGCCATCCTGTATTACAACTGCATTTAAATCCTCCAGGGTAGTTGTTGCATGAAGCCTGTGGGTCGCACACGTTTGGGTATTGACACTCATCAGTATCAATACATGTTCTGCCATCAAAGGACCATCCAACAAGGGAAGGACATTCGCAACGGTAAGACCCAGGTGTGTTCACGCATTTAGCTGGTGACAGACACTCATGGGAGCCAACAAGACACTCATTGGTGTCTTCACACGATGAAGATGCATCGCTCCACTGATAACCGGGATGGCAAACGCATGGACGCAATGCACTAACATTTCGGCTGCAGTCACCATGAGGTCCACATACTTCTCCTTTTATAACTGGACATGCTGGAAATTATTTCATAAACATGAACTTTCAGTGAGTACCAAAGTTGTATTAATATATGCTTCTTTACTCATCGACTGAAGAATTAAGTGAGACGATTTCTTCCGCTTTGGTAAGGCCACGCCTTACCTTCTTTGACTGTGAAGCTGAGAAACTATGACTGACGCGTTAGAAGCTATTAACCTACACGACAACTACCAAACACATCTTAACAGTGTCACCAGCAATAATAGTTAGTGGTCACCAAGCAAGATGGCCTCGTTTTCTGTCAGCTAAGAACAAAATAGTATTACATTGTTCTGCTGTCTTAAGTATTATACATGTATCTATACTGCATCTATTTTTCTTTGTCATAATATACAATTTTTAGCATTATTTCATTTTCATTATTTCATGCAAGGTGTTTGTAATACAAATACAACCAGCAATGAAATACAGTACAGGAAAATATCTATACTTACCTGTGCTACAGTTATAGCCAAAATATCTGTCATCACAAAAACACGGCTGTTCCTTATATGTCAACAAATTGTCGTTACATAAACCATGACCGCTGCAAAGTTCCGCTGGAAAACAGATACTGCAGTCCAAGGGTCTTCTCGTCCAGCCATACGCACAATGACAAGTACCATTGAAGTCGCATACTCCGTGGCCTGAGCAACGGACGTTTGGATTACATACTGAACAATTTCGACCGCTGTAGTGGCTGAGGCAATCGCATGATCCATTTCGCAAGCATTGGCCATGTCCGGAGCAAAATGTGTTTGGGTCACACATGGAACATCTACCGTATGGCTCAAACCACTGACGCTTCCATCCTCTGTGACAAGAACAGGTGTAACTACCTTCATTATCTGTGCAGTAGGAGTTCTCAATGCACATGTGCAAACCGAGCGCACACTCGTCAATATTGGTGCAGTTTTGCCCATCACCTGTCCATCCTGGGTCACACGTACATTTGTAAGATCCAAGAGTGTTGTAACATGAGGCATGGTCCCCGCAAAAAATGGAGCTCTCTCTGCACTCATTTACATCAGAACATCTGAAACCATCGCCATAGTAGCCTGTGAAGCAAGTGCAGTTGTAGCCACCAATATAGTTATAGCAAGACGACCTCGGGTGACATTCATTGAGAGTATTTTTGGAACATTCGTCCACATCTTCACACACAATTCCGTTTTTATGAAAGCCATCCAAACAATCACAAACGTAACCACCTACTATATTTCTGCAGAATGAGTTTTTGGTGCAGTTTACAAAAGAGCATTCATCGATATCAGAACAGTTGGTTGGGCCGTCCCGGGCAAACCCAGGTTTGCATTTACAATCAAAGGACCCTTTTTTATTTAAACAAATGGCGTTTGGGTGACAGGTGTTGTTCTCGAGGCATTCATCGATGTCATGGCAACTCCATCCGCCGTCATCACTTTTATATCCATGGAGACAAATGCACTCGTATGATCCTGCAAGGTTCTTGCACATTGCTTTGTCGGTGCAGTTATGCGTAAAGGTACTTTGGTACGTGGGAATGGTATGAGAACTAACGTTTACTACCGAATACCAAGGAATAGATATGACAGTTGTCATGTTGTCTTCAGTTTGGACAACCTCTGTAATAGTCTCGACACAGTCTATTTTCCTGTTGTCACTTTCGTCACAAGCACAAATAAAGGTGGAGTTAACGGCCTTGCCTTGAACAATTGAACTGTTGTAATAGACACATGTTTGGGTTGATGCACAAACACCAGCTCTGCATTCCTCCAATTGTCCTTCTACAGTCTGTGTAATCATTCCTTTACATTCATCAATTTCGAAACAAGCATCTCCACTCTGAAAGAAACCATGATGGCACTTGCAGTCGTAACTTCCATCAACATTGACACAATCAGCGTTGGAATCACAAGATCCATAAAACTGAAGGTTATCGCACTCGTTGACATCAATGCAAGCTGTTCCGTTTTGGTTTTCAGTGTACCCCTCTGGACAGACACAATAGTGGTCTATGCCAATCGATATACAGGTCATGTTTTCGTTGCAAGTGTTATTGGCCGAGTCACAAGGGTTTACTGCATCGCAAGATGAGTTGTCTACGGCATCACATTTGCATTCATAACCGCCAATTAAGTTTTGGCAAACTGGAGCGAATGAGGGGCAAATGAACGAGCCCCGTTCGCATTCATCTATGTCTGTGCACGTTTGTCCAGTATTTATGTACTGCCCGATACAAGAACAGACTTGCTGGAGAGAAACAGTGCCGTTTTTGTCACTTGAACGTGTGACATTGTTCGTCTCATTACCACATTGATATTTCGTACAAATCATTCCTTTGTCTTCGAATCCAGGCATACATTCACACGTAAAACTTCCCTTGGTGTTAATGCAGGTCGCGAACATATCACAGTCGTCTAAAGCAAGAATGCACTCGTCTACGTCCTTGCAGTCCTCGTTTGATGGGCCTGTGGATGTAAATCCCTCCAGGCAGGAACATGAATAATTTCCAACCGTGTTAATACAGAATTGGTTATCGCCACAAACAGAGCCATTAGCGCACTCGTTTATGTCATTACAATAAAAGCCATCACCTTGCCATCCCTGTGTACAGGTACACTGAAAACCGCCGATAGTATTCGTGCAAAGGGCGTTTGCTTGGCCGTTTTTAGAAGAACAATTGTGTGTTTCGTCTGCACATTCATCTAAGTCAACGCACAATGGATTAATATGATTTGAGGTACATCGTTCCGGTATAGAGAGGGATGAATTTTCGCTTTTTCGCCACCCATCTTTACATTCACAAGAATAATTTCCCTCACTGTTTACACAGTCTTCGTTTACACAACATGAATTTGAATTCATTTTGCATTCATTAATATCTGTACAGTTGTAGCCATCACCTGACCACCCAGCTTCGCAGTTGCAATTGTATGTTCCAGGTACATCTATACAGTTTGCGTGAATGCTGCAGTTATGATTTAGCTCTTTACACTCGTCAACATTCTCACAGAAAACGCCATTACCCATCCAGCCTGGATTGCAGTAGCACTCAAATGTTCCATTACTATCAACACATCTCCCATATCTTGAGCAAACGTCACTTCCGTTAAAACAGTTTCCTCTTTTTACACAGGAGAATCCATCCCCATAAAATCCTCTATTACACTGACATCGTACAAACGGTAGCGATCTGTTGTCAACAACACAGTGAGCGTTTTCGTCGCAGATGTTTAAATGGGACTCCGCTTCGCAACCTCCACAATCTAAACCATCAAAATGACAGAGCTTTAAATCGCAAGCGGGATCGCAAGATCCGTCACGAATCGACGTAATGGTACAAACAAGCTGAACATGTACAGTCCCCACCGTCAAAGTCGCAGATTCTGCTGTTACATGCAACATCACAATGTCCATTACCAATTAAATGCTTTGGGCAATTCTCAGGAGGGCACATGCAGTCATTTCCATCATAATTGCAAGGTTCCACAAAGCAATCGATGTTGCAAATTCCATCTCCCAAAGTTGAGTTGAGGCATCCTGGAGCACACATACAATCATTTGCGTCAAATGAACATTCTTCTACTTGACACTGTTGCTGACAGGTTCCATCTCCTACCATGTCCACTTCACATTCCGGTGCGCATTCTTGCACGGCTGTTTTGGGACAGTCACCGTCGTCAAATCCGCAGGCCTGCAAGTTGCAAACAGAATCGCAAACTCCGTCGCCTCGAAAAGTAGGAAGGCAACCTTCAGAGCATGAATCAATTGAACTCGTCGAAATTGTACAATCTCCGCCATCAAAGTTACAAGCAGATAAATTACACGACAAGTCACAAAATCCATTACCAATCATAGGAGGTGAGCACGCCTGAGGACAACTGCCTTCAACAATCTGGAATGTACAATCTCCATAGTCGTACATGCACTCCAAAATGTTACATTTATCATCACACATTCCGTTGCCTTGAAGAACTGAGCTGCACGGGCAGATAGGAAGGCTTTCGCAATCTCCTTTGTCTCGATCGCATATTTCTGTATTACACTGATGATCACATATCCCATCTCCCAGCATTTGAGATCGACACCCAGAACTGCACTCCTCTTCAACGCAATCACCACCATCGTAGCCACAATTGCTGTTATTGCACATGTGATCACACGCGCCATCACTAAGCCATGATTTTGGGCAAATGCAAACGTCTTGACAGTCCCCTTTGTCTCCATTGCACTCGGGAGTATTACAGTCTGGGTCACAAACGCTGTCACCTATCCATGCTTCAGGACAGAGCGGTGTGCAAAACTTTACCTTGGAACAGTCGTCTCCATCCCAACCTACGCTGCAAACACATACACCCTCAATGCATGTACCGTGACCAGAACATCTGCCGGGACAGGTATTAAACTTACATTTTCTTCCCATGTAAAAGTTGTCGCATTTGCAACTGCCATTGGTGAAACAAATACCATGTCCCGAACACGAAGTCAGTGAGTCACAAGTGCTCTCAACGTTCAGAGTTGGATCAAAATGATTCAACCAGCGGTAACTGACAGCATGACGCGGTATTACTAGGTGCAGATACGGCTCTTGAGATTGGCTGTAATTTGAACCCAGCGTCATATCTACAATCTGAGCAGACATAAGCTTATTCAATCCAATTTGAAAGTTCGTTTGATTTCGCAGGGACGATGTTTTAATGTCTACAATATCGTAGTCAGAACTACATCTACTATACGGAGACACGTTATGTACTCCAAGTTCAATCAACTTCTGTGCCGTTAACAGAGTCATCTTCTCCAGCGATGTGTTCAGTGCTATCAAAGGGTTAATGAATTTGATCAAGCGACTCCTTTGACTTCTATATACAAGATAAGAATAAAAGTCAGATGTGTTGAGTGTTTCCACAACAATCCATTTAGCAATAGAAAAGACACTGAGTGGTCCACGTGCGACTTCCAGATTTTTCTCTCCAGTTATTTTCTGTAACTGGAACAATGTCCTTAAAGAAGCCGGAGAATACAAATCATGAAAACTCATTGGCTCTAGTGCGTAATCGGATTGGTTGAAATACATGGATATGCATTCTCCGTTGTCGTGGTTACATGCGTCTGTGTTACATGCTTGGTCGCATAACCCATTGTAGAAATGAAGCACTTGAGAGCAGCCTGGGCTGCATGGAAGTAGGAATGCCATAGGATTTTTATATACGCCATCGTGTATGACTTGTACGCTCACAAACGCTGGAAGAATTGAAACTTGTGGCAAGGTTTTCCCAATTTTTTGACCGCTCTGCACACTGGTGATATTATAGGGTCTCAAATGAGAGATTGTTACGGTATAGCCTTCCCACAAACTCTCAGGCCAGCCAGTGATTTTAATGGCGTCCTTTTCTATTTTAACGTTGCCAGGTATCGGCGAATAAATAATTTCAGATTTCTGAGCAAGCAGATCAACCCAGTGCGTTAACTTGAAACAGCCTTCCAATATCATTCCAGAGCATGGTTCCCGAATATTCCACGAACATTTGCCCGATTCCAAACATCGTCCTCTACTTGTGAGTCCTTTACAGGCAGAGGGGGACCCACTTTCAGGGGCTATGGACTCAAAGAGGCCACAGAAGCTGTCCAGTCCTGCTTTGTTCCTCGAAAGGCGAAGCATTCTGGGGAATACCGGATGGAACTTTAACATTTCAGTATCGTTAATACATTTGTAATTTTGATTAGACATCGGAACCGTCACAAGTGAATTGACTGCTCTAGTAAAAAGTCTCAGACGTCCAGAGTTGGCCTTTTGAATATTAACGACATCGACATGCGACCAAAGGGAAATTGTTTGTAGAGTATCGTTTTGTTTCGTCTTATAGACACAGCCCCTCTTCGAACAATCTTTCCCATGAAATCCCAAAAAACAGTTGCATCGACCAGATTCACATATTCCATTTGCACTGCAAAACCTACCGTGACGTAATGGACACGTTGACGTACAAGTTCCATGGTACCATTCCGTTGGACTACAAAAAGCCGTTGATGTTGGTCCACGTGATAGGCCAGCGGTGCAAAAACCACTTTTTTCACCTTTACACCATCCGCATCCTGGTTGCAAGACACATTGAGAGCAATGCTGATTAAGGTTGCACGCGTAGGGGTATGCAGAGTCCAATAACTCCACGCTTTTATTCACCTTGTCATCTGGATTTTTCAGAATGGACCTTGTTACGCTCCAAAAATAGCCGAGGCAAAGTGATCGTATGGGTGACACAAAGTTCTCCCGGCTCGCTATGTGGTTAAATAACAGTGAAGAATTTACCACCATGGCCAGGGGTTCACCATTTTTCATTGATTTGAAAACGTTATAGAATACCTGGTACCTGGTTTTCCAACTGTATTTCACATCGTTCTTTGAAGGACAATAGTAGTCGAATAAAACATTTGACAGCTTTTCACTGCCCGATGAATTTGTAATCGCTAAACCCAAAACGTAACCATCAACTGCACTATTAACTGTTGATGTTGAAAGTCTGTCCTGACACAATGTTGTACTTTCTAGTGAAATATTCCAAGTGCTTAAGAAGTCGGTCGTATCAATTAGTACAGATGCAATCCACGTGAATGTTTCCAGTGGTTTTGAAATGTGTGGAAGAAACGGCAAGCGTTTATTTCCGCTTGGTAACGTTAGGCGCGATGCCAGTATCCCAGCCAAAATAGCATCGATTTCTATGTACGTTCCCCCGAAGATGTATTGTGATCTCCTATCCCCTAATTTTATCTCTTCACTAGCTTTCTCAAACACTGAATAGGACAATGGGTACATCAATGCCAGGTATTTCCAAATCTTATTAAGTCGAATCTCTCTATTTCCAAAAAGCGAGGGCTCCTGGAGAAACCATGCCAATGACGTAATTTCAGGTAATTTTTTCCCAGGAAATGCTCTCTCCAGCAACCACATGTCACAATAGAGCCGATCACAAGGGGTTGAGGAAATGTTCACAAAAAATGTCTCACTAATGCTGCTAACAAAATTCCAAGCCGTCACATTTATGATGAATTCTCCTGATTGTCGATAATGATGCCTTACTAAGCCTCTCACATTGGTAAGTGAAGTGTTATCTCCAAAATCAATAGTAAATGAGACATTTGTCCCACTGGCTGAGGGATTAAGATTTACAGCACGGCATGCTCTACGATCTCCACTTATTTGAAGCTTAATATTGGATACCGGTGCTTGAACGATGACTATTTCACTAGCTGAGACACTGCTTACGTCGTTTTTTGAAAATACGTTTACCACATGCACTCCTGGTAAATTGAAAGCGTGTGATGCGACACCGTATTCACTAAATGCTCTGTTAAAACTGTATCTATACTTAACATTTGTTCCCGATAGGGTAAAGGAGGAAAACGAAACTGCCTCTCCTACTGCTCTTGGACTATCCGACATAACTGCAACACTTTTAATAGGCCGCTCACAAAAGACGCCATCTCCTACCCACCCATGTCTACATATACATTTGAATGATTGTCCATCTGGTCCTGAGCGGAGACATGTTGCATTCGGGTGACAGTTATGCTCACCAGTTACACACTTTCCTTTTTTGATGATGTCATCTAAGCGTGCCACCTTATCGGTTTTATCTTTCAAAGTCTTTTTGAGGTTTTCTGTTGAACGGAGTGCCTCCTTGCGCGCATCGTCATACAAGGCTTTCTTTATCTGTTCTCTTTTTTGTGCACTTTCAAGCTCTCTTTCCTTTTGCCTGACATGAGTTTTCTGATTGCTTCGAGCTTTTTGGAGGTTCTTTTTTGCCCCTTCTTTATTTCGCTTTTCATCGGTAAGGGCATCACGTCGATATATTGAACGTTTTCCAAACCATCCTTTAAGAGTTTTGATCACCTTTCCAGCAAGATTACGAAGACCTTTAGCAATTTCGTCCGCTATTTTCTGGGCTATCTGACTGATTCTATTAACGACGTTTTCAAGTGCCTTCGAGATGTTTTTCAAGACCCTTTTTGCCTCTTTGACAGCATTTTTAAGACGTATCACCTTTCCTGTGGCTTGTATCAAAGCTTTTCCAGCCTCTTTAAATTGTCTTTTGACTTTCTCTGCCACTTTTGAAACCTGTTCAACTGCTTTTTTAGCATCCTCTACAACTTTCGTAGCGACCTCTCTTACAGCCTTAGCCGCCTGTGCTGCAGCTTTAATAGCCTGTTCAGCGGCTTGGGCTAATGCCTTTGTGGAGTCAGCGAAGTTTTTGAGGAATCTTCCAACTTCCTTTATTAGTTCTCCTCCTACTTTCAAGCCCACTTTTAGCAAGTCTTTGACGAATTCTCCAACGTTGCCAACAAAGTTGATAAGTCCTTCCATAAATGCTTTTAGTAACAAACGAATATCCTTTTGGAATAGATCTTTTATCAAAGTAGGCGCTTTATTCTTAACATAATCTAGTAAAAGTGGAGGGATTCTCTCAGGTCTTGCATCTTGTATGTCAATTGTTAATGAAGGAAGATCTATTTTTTGCCCTAGAAAATGAAATGAAACCTTTAACGTGCTTCTTCCAGGAAATGAAATCCTCACATCACAGTCAAAGCCAGTGGGCAAAACAATTTTTCCCAAATCCTTTCCAAAGACTTTTATTTTGCCGAGAACAACTGGTCGACCAAGGGCAATTTTCGCCTGTGCGCCAATGGCAATAGAAAGACGACGACGTCTAATCACAATGTTTAGTTTCGACCCCATGAATCGTGATGATGCCCGTACCAACGAGGTTGAAGGAGCTTCCTTTATGAGAAGGTGGCCACTGGATAGTGACACACCCATAAACTGAAGATCTATTGCAGCATCTAGTACAAATACAAGGCCAGGACCAAAAACAGCTCTTACCCTTCCACCCAATTTAACGACGCCCAGAAAGTTAAATTTCAATTCGCCAAATACTACTATCATGTCTTTGGTAACAGTCACCTCACCCCTAAGGAGTGGTACATCAAACAGTTTTAGGTGAGCTTTTGCAGAAATCAGCATTGGATTGGAAGAGTCCTCTAAGTTGATCTTTGCGGCGGCTTCAAAGTTTATCTTGACCACCCTACTTATACCAGCGTTCAAACGCAGCGACAGACCAGCATTTCCAAAGTTCTTTACACGAAGAACAACGTCAGCAGAGAGAAGAACTAAGTCCGCGGACGCAATTATCAATGCATCGTCTCCACTCTCCATCACTGGATACGGCCAGAGAGCTTTGTTTTTCTTTAGCTCCTCTGGTGATGAAGCTGCAAATTTTAGCAAAGGCCATCTAAAAGGACCGATATTGAATGCAACGTCCAAAACACGATATTTGAGAGGAACAATCTCTAGCAGCCATATAGGTTCAAACGTTTTCATGAAATTCATCCAGCCAATGAGAAACTTCTTACCATCTATTGGCGGGACATTCAATGTAAGTTTACTTCCACCAGAGAACGCTGGTAGCTGAATCATAGTCAAGTCATTTTCGTGCGACAGTTTTAGGACAAGTAAACTGCTATTTGCAGCTTTTACGTCATCCATCGATAATAAGTAGTCCTTGGTTGTGTAATAATTTACAAGCCCAACCAAAAGAGAGGCAATTGCGCCCAAGTCTTTAAAATCAGGTCTTCGATGATATATTGTTAATTGAGCTTGGAAATCAATGAGTGTCGGATATTTCACGGACAAGGGTGCAGCGAAAATCGGAATTGGCGAAAAACCCAGGATGACAAAGAAGCAGTCTTTGCAGATTATATGTGTTTCCATATTTGCCGCGTTGATTAGCAGTGGAGTTTGTCTTGGAAGGCGTGAAAGAAGTATTACAAACTTAAGATCCCAAAGATATACTTCAGCGTCAATGTCAACAAATGGCAACCCGGAAATAGTTCCGATGGAGAATCGCCTGAAGGAGACTGCTAGCAAGTCACCTAAGGGACTCACCGGCATTGCCACATCTAAGGATTCTCCATTCTGAACCTCTAGACTTAATGTTAAGGGACCGTTCTGCGACATAGAGACGGCTACGGTTATCTCTCTTGGAAATTCTGGACTTTTGAATCGCTGCATGCCCTTCGGTAGGTTATCGATATTACACCCCATCCTATTTAAGTTGCGTATTATGTCCGGAGGGGGCCACAAAGGAATGTTTGATTTGGCTAGATTAAAGAGGAACGGGAGTTTCTCGAAGAACTGTCGCAAGAGGGGCAGTGTGATAGGAACGCACAGCGTGTCCAAGCCTTGAACGTCAATGATGGCAGAGAAGCCGTCTCTCGTATATGCAAAAGAAGGTAGTTTGAATCTGACATAAGAATGTTTCTTACAAAGCCATGTAAAATCACAGGTATAAAGTTCGTTGTCCTTCTTGCAGGGTACCAGTTCATCCCTAATTGGCATTGTTTCTAGTTGAATTGATATACCTGTCTCTTCCGTTATCACGACGTACATTTTTAATGTGTCCTTGAACACTTTAAAGGGAAACATTTTGTTTAGAATATCGAATCCCGTTACCTCAAGGGTCACCTTAATTTTGGGCTGTTTTTGTGTAACAAATATAATTTCTGGATCTGAAAACTTGATGTTCAAGTTGCAGTCTATGCCAGCAAGTTTCATATCAACTTTGGTGTCAAGGAGTTTCTTCTTAAGAGTAATTATGGCAGATCGTGACGTCACAATTACTAATCCTTCAAGGTCACTGAAGTGTTTCTCTAACGGAATACCGGTGAACGATGCTTTAATTGCTGCGCTAAGCTCCCAGTCCTTGTTTTGTTTTAAGTCGAGCTTCAGATATTGAACAGTAAGTCTTGCTTTAAAGTTATTGGATGGGTCAGGCACTGGCAGTGGAAAGCTAAAACCGACATCAAAACCATTGAGATCACATCGAACAGTGGCATTGAGTAGATCAAATTGAGGTTTGCTGAATCTGATGCTCAAGCTGTTCAAAGTCACTTTATTGAAGTTCAAAAAGGCGCCAGGGACGATGTTAAGCAGCTGATCCCCACCGATCAGAGTTGCCAAGTCTGATAAAGTTAATGGTTGCTCCTTAAGGTTTTCGATAGCTAGAACAACGGAGTCCTTGTACACAGCGAGAACTGTCTGAACTACTGCCTTGCCAAGGCTAATCACAACATATATTGTGATCTTGACGGACTGCTTGGCAGTGAAAGCGTCATCAATAAACAGCTTAATGTAAATACGCTGAATTCTTATTCCAAGGGGAAGCGAGACGTCACTAAGGTTTGTCTCTAAAGCGCATGTTATGTTGAATATTTGAAAACGAGGGTTGGGATTGAAAGCGGCTTTAAAGTGTTTCAACAAAAACTTGTCTGCTTTTGATAGAATGTCGTCAGGAAACAGCGCCTTTAAATCAAATCCACCACCCGTCAAGGCAACAATATTAGCTGCTGAAAGATCCGTTTGCTGCGGGAGGATGTTAAGTTCCCACGCTTGAGAAGAGTAATGAGGCATTGATAGGACCCCTTGAATTTGAAGGACATTGGCCCCTTTTCCAAGCGTCAAGAGACATGCCAATCGCCCAGCGACGCTCACTTTATTGGCTGTTGCCAAACTCAGGTCAGCCGTTATGTCAGATATACGCAACCAGTTATCAATAATGGTGACTTGGTCTTTTAGTGAAAAGTTCATCTGGAAGCTTTGGATCTTCAGCTGCCTCAGAGGTGGTAATAGGCGTAAGTTCAAAACCTTCATGGAAATTTTCAGTTTATCAAAAACTGGCGGGAAAAGATTTTCTAAGCCGAAGCCACCGACAAGTTGTTTGCCTATTTCTGCCAACGTTATCTCTGGAAATCCTGGGAATGTCAGTTTCAATTCAGGAACGTTCGGTATTTCTGGTGGGAATGGCATTCGCACAAAAATTGGCTTAGCGTTTAAGACAATAATTCCTTGTAGAGTTGCGTAAACGTTTTGGCCGACTCTCAGTTCTAAGGTAATATTTTGGAACGCCAGTGGAAAGCCTTTCAGTTGCCAGTGTTTAAGAGCGGTTACTGTTAAGTTTAATGACTCCAAACGTGCTGTTGTAGGTTCGAAGTCTGCTCTTAATGGCCAAAGTAGAACGTCTCCAATGATATCTGAAATTGGTGCCAGCAGAGATGGTGGAATCAGTTTACCGACCAGCGGTAACGCTGCAATATTTGAGAGATTAAAAACCACTTCGTTTTGCAATTTCAGTGTGATCATAGAGTTCTGTGATTCTGGGATGTTGCATTCAAGTGGAAACACTGTTCGGTTTTTTCCGTTTACAAACTCTATAGTGCCAGATATATCGAGCTTGTAACTTGGAATGTCACTGAGATCGTTAACGTGTAAGTTCATGGTAGGGGCGAGCAATGAAAAGGTTGACTGGAAAAACGACCAAGAATTGGAGAGCCTTATTTTAAGGGCAAAGGATTGGAGAAAATCAAAATTATTGGAGAACTGTACTTCCGCAAACTGTATTGAGGATTTGTCAGCGATATTGAGGCCTAACAGATCAACATCCGGTAAACTTTTTACTCCTGGCAACATCTTTTTCAAGGCATCTGTTACTAGATCATTCAACCCTTTGACTTCTATTGGGCGATTTAGACTAAAAACTTGTCCATTGGGAGAGTTTGTCAGTTTAAGCTCCAATACTGTATTACCAAGCGAAAGACTTCCCCTCAACGTAAACTGGTGCGGGTTCATAGAGACTGTAACATTCCCAATGATAAGAGCTCCAATGCCCCCAAGATCCCATGGGGTGCTCAGGACAGCCTGAAATGTATTAATTTCGAACACCGTTAGCTTTTCATCGAAGGAAATAATCTGTTTTTGGAGAACTAACTCTGGAAGATACGATCCAAGGGTAGAGGGAAACTTGCTTCCTGTTGCCGAAAATAATATTCCAGTAAGATTTCGGAAAGAAATACGTGGTCGTGCGCTTTCCGGAAGGCTGATTTCTAGTGACTGGTTTCTTGAGAAGGGAACGTTCAGCTGGAAAGGCATGCTAACGCTTCCCTCGACCAAAATGATTGTTCCTTCGATAGAAAGGGCGAAAGACGTTCCGACGTCGATGTCAATTGAAATAGAAATATCTCTAACACCAAAGAAATCGTTCAGAAGTTCCCATGAATACATCCCAATAGCTCCTTTAAATGATGCTTTTTGAAGTGAAAGATTTCTGGATAATTGAAATGAGGCCTTTTCAAGGGTAAAGCTAGGTATGACTGATAGTTTGCTTCTTTCCAGACCTCTTGAAATGTCCTTGATTTTCTCTCTTCCAAAGAACGCTCGATAAACTTGCTGGACAAATGATGAAACTCCTACCGTCGCAGAATTTCGGAGTTCTATTACTGGGTCTCCACCTGTCGGCGGCCAGTCAAGTTGGCATGGCAAGCTCACATTTCCAAGGTTGATTTCACCACTAACAAGAGTGTGATTCACCGTGTGAAATATTTTGATATTCCCGAGGTAAAAAAATGGAAAGTTCCATACTGTTTTCGGCGGAGTTTCAACATGCAGAGTGGTTATTGTGAAAGCGCCAGTAAGCATTGAGGAAAATTCCAGTTTCAGTTT